TCGTATACTGTTGGAGCCTGGACATTGAGACTGCCTTCAAGCATCCGCAGAAGACAGCCCGAGACGCCCATATCCATTGTAACAAAGAGGTGGAGCAAATCCCTCAGATCCCATACTCGCTTTTGTTTTTTCAGATGCTCGTAAAGGTCAGCAAAACCTCCAAGAAACTCTCCGCAGTTTTCCATTCCTAGAATCAGGACCTGGACCTTGATGAATGTTAGCAAGTTTCATGTTGAGGTCAGGGCTGATGAACACTTTTAGTCTTACCTCAGTTGAATCCAAAGTAGGCCAACTACTGCGCAAAAGTGCTGCAACATCTGGTCTTGAAATCCTACTTAGCAGCGGCACGTTGACGCCACTAATCCGTTGAGCTTTCACGAGAGCAAGGTACCAATTGGTCTGAACGACTCCCCTTGTAGGATCAGGCGGGAACTCTTCCGCCAGCTCCAAAAGGGCGGGAATATCCAATGCATCCAACAAAAACTGAGCGTATTGGCTAAGAACGTAACCGTTGTCAAGGAAGCGTTCAAGGTTTTGTTGGAAAAAGCTCCGGGCTCTCTGGAAATGGCCTAGCCTCCAGAGCTCCGAGAACAATTCAAGCGGTTCCTCCACGCCAATAACTGCGCCGAGCTCCAAGTGTACAGTAACGTTTTGGCCGTCTCTGGGATTTACATGGATGCTAGAAGGTGGGAGTGGCGGGCGGGAGTCGTTTGTGTCTTGGGTGCTGTATCCATGGCTTTTGTCTCCGCTAAGCCTTTGTCGTAGCCGATCAAGTCTGCCTACCAGCGACTTTGCCCTTGCATCCCATTGTTTCCATTCAAATACCTTCTCTCTGAGATCGTGTGAAAGTCGATCGTGGCGCTCATTCATGTTGTCTCTCCATTCCGGGTCCTCTTCTTCTGAAGACCAGCCGCTCCATAAATTGCGCTTGTCTGCTTGACTTTCATGAAGCCGCTGTCGACTTTTCCTCAGATTGTCGAAAACTTCATCGAAATCCTTGGATAAATCGTCAAATTCCTGTTTGAGATTGTCATGAGTCCTTGAGTTGGGCATGCCACCGTCCGATTTCGCCACGTAATGCCCTGCCCTGGTTCTCAAATCTCTGTTACTGCTAGATGCTAGCCTTATAAAGCCAGGATCATAAAATTCTGGAGCCGCCGGAACTCGTTCAAGGTCGGAATCTTGTGATTGGTCGATAACCTGGGCATCATTCCTGGATCGATCTGCCCATTCGTCTTCCCTGGCAAGGAGTGCTGGCCTGGACATGATCTGATCCTATTAGCACTAGGGCACGGTCAAATTCCATCCTTTGTGCTCACCTCTGAATATTACGATGAAAGGAGCGTGTGGTTTTGTTTTCAGTGACAGCCATATTACTTTGCTGGGCAATCATTAGATTCGAATGAGGGATAAAAGAGACACATCAGGCTGGCGGACGGCCTCATTATAATGTATCTCAGCCAAAAGGACGCTGTCTGCATGACGCTAGCGCCGGCTACCTTGGCAGCTGAAGGGCTGACCACTCGTAGCCTGAAGAGCCCATGCAGTATCCAATGAACAGAGATAACAACATAAGCAGATTGGTGGTTGATTGGTGTTGGACGCAGGCCCAGTCAGATAGATAGTCTTAGGCCACATAGGTACTCCGAGCAGAAAGTACTCCGAATGCCTTAAGAATCGGCAGTGCCTCTTGTGGAAGTTGCATGTACAGTACTATTGTAAATCAGGTGATTGTCTCGCTGACATTGCGTCTTTTCCATTTCGGACCCCGCACTCCAGAGGGCAAGTTAAAGCTTGGAATTTCACATCCAGCCTTCCTGCTTCTTCCACGAGAAGCCGAAGCACCAGCCTCACTCACTAGGCTCCAGGCGAAATCGAGGACGTAGCGTATGCGAATCGCAATACACAATGTGCGTCTTTCGTATTCCAGATCATTAAAGTTGAAGACTAAGCTAATTGCGTATACTATGATGACAGATGGAACCTCGGCAGCCTGGCCTTCAATTCCAGCGCCGCCAGCCCTACGGACGGCGTGACATCGAACGATTTGACCAGGAGTCGGCGAAAGGGCTTGATGTATGCATCAAATCACGGACGATTGGCAAAGTCCGGATCGAATGTAACTATGGCTGGAAAAGAGCACAATGGGGACGCTTAGGAGTCGATCGAACACCCGCTGGCATCGTCTATATCGACATGACGTTTAAGCAGCCACCCGGGCATTCACTCAGCAGCGCAGTTGTCACTATCACATTGAGTGATGAAAGCATGCCCATCTACTCTTCCAGGCGAATTCGAAAGAAACCCATTGCCCCGTCGTCTCTGGCTGTTGATAATTCAGTCCACATCACCCAATTCTTTGGGCCGAGTTACATAATTGGTCGCAAGATTGTTAGCAGCGAAGTGAGCGATAAGGCACTACAACCTACCGTGGGGTTTGGAGGCATTGTCGATCTCGGAGGTGTCGGTCTCAATAAAAGTGTTTCGAGAGACATCTCCCACGCATGGAGCTTCAAAGGAGTCCGGCAAACGACCAACGACGGTTACGGAATTAGGTCTTTGGAATGGCAATTCACGGAGAATCCTTTGGAGACCAATCCATCGCACAACTCATCTTTTCAGACGGCCTTTGCTTTTGAGCATAGTGGAAAACCAGTCATTATGGAAGTGGAAGTCGAAGGAGATCTCAAGAAAAGAAGGCAGGATGCTGCGCACAAAGTATACAGGTTTCTCACCAACTCAAAAGGGAGCGACAAGTCGATGATCACGCGAATCGATTTGTCTTCTGCGCGGGACGACTTTCAAGAGAGCCTAGATTACGCTGCCAGCGACCTCGACAGATGTATGCGGCAGCTAAACACAGAAGCAACACCTATGGAAGTATCAGCTGAGACCCATGATCCGGTTTCCCAAACGCCCGAAGATCGGTCAACCAATGTACTTCTATCAGGTAAGCGATCAGAGGCTATGAGTCAAGAAAATGCAGAGCTGCGCCGATTTCTTCCGCAGCCTGCTGAGGATCAAACCGCCCTAGACTTTGGTTCACAGGGAGAGGATGCCGCATCAAACAACAGCCAGGAGACTCTCTTGAACACAGAAGAAGCTGACGATCAACTTGCAACGACGGAGAAGCCGCGATGGAAAATATTTCAACTAAGAGCAATAATGGCCGCAGCTTTCGGTTGGCTCGCTATGGTACTCGCGGACGATCGACAGGAGACGACCGTTAAAAATCGTGTGTCTCGATAACACAAGGAGATTTGTCTTACTAGTGGAAGCCAAAACATAGACGTACGCGTTGATATTAGCGGAGTCGAAACGTGTAGTTTCTCTCCTCAGCTACCGAGGGAGGGCGAATTAAAATAAGAAGCAGTTCACAAAATACAAAAAGCTATGCGTCAAGGACAGGATTCGAACCTGCGCGACCGAAGCCACTGCCTGAACAACTGTCAGAAGACCTGATAGCAGGGCAGCCCATTAACCACTCTGGCACCTTGACCCGTGATTGATGGAAAATGTGGCAGTGGAAGAGACCCATATTGATCTGCACCGCCAGCTGGCAGTGTGACTCCACCAGTGGATCTCGCTGCACGTCGACAATCCCTAGCGTATCCAGGGCATCTGAAATTCACCGTGACTTCCAAGGCCATTATGTCTCAAGTTGTTTCTTTCTCTCTTATGTTGATGGTTGTGTGGATGATGTATTTGGCGCCTTGGGCTGATGAAGAAACTACTTTCAGATCTCTACTTCACTCCTTGGATTGTCCACTCGCAGCGACCTCATTTGACAAACACTCCAGAAAACTTATTTCTTCCAAAAACTACTAAATGAGTCAATAAGATTGCCAAAGTGTTTCTCGACGTCTTGCAGGACGTCTCAAGCGTCACTCTCAATCCGCGCATGACCGGTGCTGCAACTGCTTTCAGTTTTCATCCCGAAGCAACCCAGCTTGGAATCAGAAAGCCAGACGAAATCAGCTGTTATGTGTCAGAGACTCGGTCAACTACATGAAGATCATCGTGGTTTACTCACCGAGGTTTATTGAGTTCCAATGAACCCCGCCATTCGTGTTGCGACACCAACACTCGAGCTTGCCGTGTTTCTCGTCGTAAGTACACTTATCACAGCTCGCACCAAAGCCTCCTCTGTACTCAGTTAGTCTTTCGAGTGATCAGTAGTAATTTGCTCGCAGCTATTCACTTTTCTCGAGCTTCCAGGTTTCCAAAGTTGTTGACGATGCAGTCGTTCAGCTTCAACTTGGAGCACCAGAGGTACGGCGCTTGACTGAGGGGGCATGAGTAATGCAGGAATGGGTCCTTATCATTGTCGCCTAGACTGAAGCTGATGAATTCGCATTCTTTCAAAAAGTTGCCTGCAGCTCCAGCAGCTAGAAGAAAAATAGCGCAGGCGGAGTAGAGCATCATGATGACAGGTGAAATGATGTTGGATTAGTCGGCTGTCACAACCTTGGATCCTGTTTCTACATCACAGCTTATGTACTCAGATGGTCGCGGCCCGCCTGTTGTCTTTGTTTCCAAGGGATTGAGAGTAATTTCTAAGCAATGGCTCTTTGCGTTGCCGAGCCTCCACGATGGTGTCACTACGAGATCTGAACTCATACAACGAGGACACCATGAGAAACTCAATACGCATGTGTGTTCATACCACAATGGCGGCACGGACTTTCGTCGGTGTTACTAAATGGAATCGATTGGCACGGTCATTGAATGAGCTCGCCGTAATGTTGTTCAAATGCCACGGTATTGTCTGTACACAAACAGATGCAAACCCCCCTCGCAAAGTCCGTGAACCTTTCCTCCCTTAGCTGAGTCGAGTTGTCACCGGTAACTTCATGCAGGAAACAACTATCTATTGATATCAATGTAACGATGCCTCAGTGGCCTATCGATGCTCAGCTACCTAATAATTCGTGCCAATCCCAAACTCCAAGCTGACCTATTGACGTAGAAAACCCAGCCCGATACTCGTAACACATTACTCAAACCCCCACAGTATGGCTGAAGACCTTGGCAGCCAACTGTGTGAGCAACCTAGCACGATCTGACTGCGGCAAATCCTGTATGTCGTCAGCAGAGTTCTCAATAATCCTGCGCACAAGAGAGAGTCTAACTGGATCTACCCGGTAGATATCTCCAGATTCGCACTAACCTGGAACACCGCGTAGACGCTCTTCCCCTTGGCGTCTCGAACTGCCCCAAGTCTGTTCCCGGCAACACCTCCAGCCAACGCGCCGGGCATGTTCCCGACGATGAAACCCAGCGCAGCGCCGCTTACGCCACCGATGGTCCCCCAGAAAGAGCTCGTCGGTCGGTTGGTACCCTCCTCCGCCATGCCCTCCTCGCGCAGCATCTCCTCGAACACATCGCCGAATTGCTGGTTGTCTGCCCTCTCGCGCTGCTCCTCTGTCTTTGCCTGCTGGCCGGTGAAGAAGTTCCAAGCCCAGGAGTAGGCGTTATTGGTATTGGGACCGGCTTGCGGGGGGATCTCCTCCTCGGGATCGTCGAATGGGTCGTTGGCGGTGTAGCCGGCCGACGCGCCGAACATCTTGCGCTGAGCATCGTACTCGCGCCTCCTTGTGGTGTCGGAAAGGGTGTAGTATGCGTCGTTGACAAGCTGAAACTTGCGGGTTCGTGACGCTCGCTCTGGGGAATCGGCGGGGACCCTGTCGGGATGTGTCTTCAGGGCGGCTCTGTAAAATGTGTCAGCATCTTCAGTTATAACTATGGGACCTAAGCGTGCACTTACTTCTTGTATGCATCTCGAACCTGCTGGGTCGTAGCTGCCTCGGTGATCTCCAGGATCGCATCTTGGGCCGCAGCGTTAGGCCTAGTGGCGAGCTATGGTGGGGTGGAGGGGTCACTTACAGTAGTTCGGGGGAGCGCCAGTGTTCGCCATCTTGAATTACGGTCAAGTAGGAGGATACCTCAGGTCAGCTCCGATATAGAAATGGCTGAGGGTTGACAGGAGGCAGAGGAGTCAAGTCTGCAGACTGTAGGCTGCTGGGTGGTCAAGTATCTGCAGCACCTTTCGCCTCCAAGGGACCTGGGGTGATTGACGTCAACGTCATGTGGCGCATGAAACTGAGGAGCAAACGTGGCTTGATCGGAGCCGGAGGAAACGCTGCGCGGGGCTAGTGGAGTCGGCTCGTTCCCACTTTTATACCGATGGTCCGTGCAGTCCTCAGGATGCACGGTCCAACTGTCATCCTTCCTCCCGTTCATCGCTCGAAGCTGAATCCTTTCCGGTTCTCACTCAGATGATCAAATGCCTGCCCCAACGCCCGTCAGCATCTTGTGCCAGCAAGCTTTTAGGCGTTTGGCCGGTGAAACCTCTCCAATTGAAAGCTACTTTCTCTTACTTTCCGGTGCCCTGCAAGACATGACAGGACGACACTCGTACTCACACTTGCAACGCTTCTTCGGATTCAGGAGTAGTCAACTATCGCTCAGAAGCAACATGAACGACTCAGCGACACGTCCTTCATGACCGGGCGAGCAGCTCATATCGCGACTTGCTTTTTCCCGCAAGCACACGGTCCCGTCGGGCAATATACCCCGCGCCGCAAATCCTCTTGTTTTCTTGGGCTACATGGCTTACCAGCATCATCTCCCAATCGCATCACTTATTGCAAGCCCAAGCCGCATCCACAGGCCGGCCGAGACTGACTAACTTCAACGGCGATTTGCGTCGAGCACCTCGTTGTCAGCCTGAGACCGCCATAATTCTCCTTCTCATGGCAACTCAGTCACGAGAGACGTTTCCCAGCCAAACCTCGCGCATACCGCCCCGCCCGTAGCGCCACCATTCGCGTGATGAAGTGGTACAGACAGGCTCGATTCTCTCGTGAGACTGTCTTCACAATATCGCATGGACTCACGTTCCTTGTCAACCGCGAGGACCTGACTTGCTAGCCGAAAGCATCCCCTCAGCTCACCTTCGTAGCTCAGCATGGCCTCTTCTAGAAATCCATCTCGTCCTTGGAATGCTGCACAAAGCGGCTGAGCGACTCATTCCAAGGTTTAGGGGCCCCGCAAGGCACTCTTAGCTCTTAGGTACCATGCCCCGGTTTCCAGAAACCAGGATGGACGTGCGAAGGACGAAAGACGATATTCCACCGCCAAGACAGGGCTTTGAAAAAGTAAACAATGTTGAGTTTGGATAACGGGCGAACGAGTACCCGCATGCTGCACAACTCTGATCTCCAAATGCAGCACTTTTGGCGGTGCCACCTTCCTCAATATATAAGGTAACTGAATCTTACCACCGCCCCAGCCGACTCATGCTTCCAGACGAAAAGATTGGCCAATTCCATGCACACAACTGGTCGCGCAGGATGCCCAACCCGGGCGATCGACCTGCGGTGCCTCATCCCAAGAACATACCTCAACACCAAGGACCGGCGACGCCACCACTACACTGGTTTTGCAGCAGAACCGCAACGGCTGACAGGCGCGGAAGTACCTTAGATACACGTGCAAAATTGCACCAAAATCAGTCTCTCTCACACACAAATATGCTTTCCGCCATTAGTGCTGGAGCTGGACCCCTGCTACTAAGCAAGCTTAAAAGTCGCAATAATGCATACGTTCTCAAGAGCGGCTTGGCAAACATACCGCGTACTGTCACTGTCGCAAGCTTGACCTGGACCATAACATCGGTCATACCGTGTGCCTGTCCTAGGGCGCAACATGTTGAGAGGATCGACAACCTCCCGCCAGACCCGACCAATCATCCAATATGGCGGAGGATCCGGAACTGGGGTCACTGAGAATTGCCTTACTTGGCAAGCGGGCACTTTTGTTTCCCAGCTTCCCCACAATGTTTTCCGCGCCGCACTCACTCTGGGATTGCACCCGATTGATCTCGTCATCATACAGAGTTCCGATGGATTCATGTACTCGGATTGGTCAAGGTTCGTGGAAGCTGGCCGGGGAAGCAGCCTTGACTTGGGCATCGGGGGAATGGGGTGAGTTTATTTGCCGAGTGGGCACTCTGTGTTAGCCAATATTGCATTTCTGGCTTCCGTACGCTGTCCGAAAGAGCTCAATCCTTCAGACTTCGTGGATACCTATAAAGCCCATGCCAGCTCCCGGTTTTCTAACACTGGACGAACAGCCTTTTGAGACCGTCAAACAGCGGACCGCCGTGTCGTTGAGTCAATCTCTGGACCCAGAACCTTGAGGAGAGACAATCCGTGGCTTCTGGTTTCACTACCACCCTAAGGATCGTCTCGGTAAGACCTCGTCCGTCTTCTCAAGTTTCCTTTCTCTCGTCTACGGCTACTTACAAGCAATAGGTATTCCGACAAGGTCACGTCAAGCACAATGGCTCCTACGGACCTCAACACTTCGGCCACCGGCAGCTACTGCACCACCCCAGTATGTCTCGAGATCGCCTCAAACATTCTTGAGAATCTCGCGGTCAACTATACCGAAGTCGATCCGTGCACAGACTTTGACAAACGTACGTCTTCGACTCAAGTTTTGCCTTTTGTTTCTTCCCCGCCCGCATTACCTTTGAGCCGCAGGCTTCCCCGCGCCCCAAGCTCCCAATCCCTGCCTTGAGTCTCCCACTCCAATAAGCTCGCGCCGAAGCCGACGGGACAGCATGACTCTCGATTCGCTAACACACTTTCTTGGCAGTGGCATGCGGGGGCTACAAGTCCAGGCATGCTCCGGCGGCCGGCGCGGGTAAGGCATCGACGTTGGGCGATGTCGGCGATGAGGTGTCGATCATTTTGAAGAACATCTTGGAAGGCGGGTACCAGTCGGGAGCGAACGCGGGCTTCATCACGGCGTCGTTGCCCCAGGACCAGGTTCAGACGGATAAAGACAACTTCAAGCTCATTGTTGACGCGTACAATGCCTGCTTGAACACCACCGAGGTTGAGGCGGCGGGACTGACGCCGTTGATAAGCTTCATCGACCGTATTATGAAGGCCTTCCCTGTATCAAGCGGTGGTAAAGATCCCCAGCGGATGATTAGCAAAGATGATGCTCCTGAAATGGGCAAGGCTTTGCTGTTATTCTCCGAGTATGGAATCAACACGTTTGAAACGCTTGGCGTGGACTGGGATGACCAGAACCCCGTATGCTGCTGATGAATCTCCCTGGAGGCACGGCTTGACTAACACCTCATAGAACAAGACGATCATCTCCCTCCTCCCCGGCGGCACGTCGATACTGACCGGCCGTGAGGACAACGAGACAGTTACAAACTACCTCAAAATCCAGGCGTCGGTTCTCCAGGCAGTTCACCCCGCGAACATTTCGCAAGCCGACTCTCAAAGGTTAGCGGTGGCGGTAACGAAATTCGAGAAGGACCTCAAAAAGGTGCAGCAAACTGATGACAGCAAAGATGCCGACGATGTAAGCAGCACCTCAAAATGTCTGGAAAGTCCGCTCTAATGAAGCACCTAGAAACCACTCAAGAAGATGAAGTTCGAAGATGCCGTAAAGGTGGCCCCTGAACTGGATCACGGCTCCATCATCAAGGCTCTTGCGCCTGAGGACTACAACCCAGAGCATATCGTCTTCTCGCCAGCCTACTTCGGCAATCTCTCCTCACTCCTCGCCAACACTAGCGCAGAGGTAGTACAAACCTTCTTCGTCTGGAAGGCTACCACGACGCTCTCCAGCTATGTCGAGGCAGAAGCAACGGAAAATCTCAGCGACTTCCGCTCAGTCCTCCGCGGTCTCGACCCCGTCGCCGTTGGAAAGCAACCACGATGGGACCGGTGCGTCTCTGACGTCGACTCCGGCCCGACATGGACCAGCTTCCCCGCGGGTCTCGGCTGGATCCTCAGCCGCTTCTTCCTCGACAAGGCCTACTCCAGAGAAGCGCGCGAGCTGACCACCTCTCTTATGGGCTCTATCCAGGGCACCTTCATCGCCCGCCTCGGCGATAAAGACTGGCTCACCGCCGCCGTCAAGAAAGTAGCCGAGGAGAAGGTCAACGCCATCTCCAAGAAGATCGGTTACCCCGACTCCTCCCCCGAGACCGTCAACCCAAAGAGTCTCTCAGACCACTTCAAGGGCGCGACGATCAACACCTCCTTTTTCAACAACACGCTCTCCCTCGCGGCCCTCTCCACGAAACGCACCTGGTCCTACCTCGGCAAACCCAGCGACAAGGCCCTCTGGCTCAGCACCCCCTCCCAGACGAACGCATACTACTTCCCTACGTACAACGACATCGTCATCCTCGCTGGCATCCAGCAGAAACCCCTCTACGCCGTCGGGTACCCCTCGTACATCAACTACGGCGGCCTCGGCTCCGTCCTCGGCCACGAGCTGACCCACGGCTTCGACAACAGCGGCCACAACTACGCCCCCAACGGCTCCCTCACCAACTGGTGGGACGACAGCAGCATCAAGGCCTTCGAGGAGCGCACAAAGTGCTTCGTCGACCAGTACCAGAACTTCACCGTCACCGCGCCCAACGGCACCCAGGTGCCCGTCAAGGGCAACTTCACCCTCGGCGAGAACATCGCCGACGCGGGCGGCGTCGCGACCTCGTACGCCGCGTGGAAGCGCGCCCAGGCCGACGGCAAGGTCCAGGACTTTGACCTGCCCGGCCTCGAGCGCTTCTCGCACGACCAGCTGTTCTTCCTCAAGTGGGCGCAGGCGTGGTGCGACGTCTCGGCGACCAAGGCGTACGACGTCTACCTGCTCAGCAACGACGTGCACTCGCCTGGTTTCGCGCGCATCAAGGGGCCGTTGGACAATTCGAGGGAGTTCAGGAGGGCTTTTAATTGCCCGGTACAGAAGCCTACCTGTGAGTTGTGGTAGAAAGTGGGATCAACGGACGGCGTTTTGGGGGGTTTGGTTTACCGTTTACAGTGGCATCCGGAGGAGGCCTCTTTTCCTCATCTACAATGGGTGCCCATCCAATAA